GAAGCGCGATATCATGATAATGTCTACAGCCCAAGCATAAAAAATCCGGAATAAAAAGACAGAATATTTGGCGTGGATTTATTTTCTAACGTATAAAATATTTCCATGGAAAGTTAACTATGTAAATTATGTAATGGCTCTCGGCGTTTTGTGCTCAATGTATACAAGGTCATAACATCATTCGCGTGTCAAACCTTGGCCCGGTAGACCTGAAAGACATTGTTACATCTTATTACATCTTGAAACATTCACAGCAGCATACCATTACAAATACACGATCAATCTTTTAATCGGTCAGTGATTAATTGCGAGACGTCGAGTATTGTACGACGACATCTTCCTTGCATTATTTCCTTTGTAGCGACATAAATAATGAGATGCGCATCGGAAGTGTCGTAAAAAGTGTCGCGTGATCGTACTGTATGATCGTTGACTGCTTTCACAAGTATGAATGCCATGATGAAGTAACTGAGAGGAGAAGGAAGCTTAGGAGGCATCGGACGATGCAAGTAGAGGAGTAAGTATTATACTTTAATTATTAAGTATTTGATTGATTAAGTATTATACTCATTTGTTATTTATTCAATTATTAATTAATTTATTATTTATTACTTTATTAATTAATCGTTTCGTCCTACGATAATCATGTGTGACATAACGCCTGCAAAAAGTACTTTTGATTTCATCTTAAAAATAATCTTTTAATTAATAAATGTCAAATTTCATATTTTTAATATTCTAAATATGCATAGTATTTTCAAATCACGCGTGTTAAAAATTTTTATTTATTATTTTTATTTTTTATGTTATTATGTAAGAACTGTGGGCTTTAATAAAAGCTCTAAAGTTTTTAATAAGAAGAAAAAAAGAAAAAAGTTTTATTGAAGATTTAGAAAGATTTTGGTTGGAAATTATTGTTATTTTATGCGCACGATGTTTATTTCACGAGATATTATTTTGTACTGTAATATAATTCTATATTGTATTATATAGTAAAATATTGATATTTTCATATAATTTTGATTTGGTGAAATCAAGTTTCATTTATTTAATGTTATATCTCGAACGACAAAAATTAGAATAAAATTATATATTTTTGTATGTACTTTCGTATTAAGTAAAAATTATTAACTATTTGTGTTAATTTATGTCCTTTTTTCCTTTCCTAAATATTTTTTTAATAGGTACACTTTGGCTTTTATTCTTCTAAAATGAAATGTTCTATAAAGCTATAGCAAAGAAAATAATATTTGAACATGATAGATTTTTTAGTATATGTCACAAGATAATTAAAGAAAGGCACAAGAAATATTTTACATCGGAATTTATTTAATATAAAAATATCGCGCAAAAAATAATTAATCACAATTTTCTTATAATACTTATAATACTTCTTATAATATTTCTTATAATACTAAAGTTTATTCTAATTTCTTTATAGCTTATCCATTTAATTATATCTTTATTTTATATAACTTAAAATAAAACATGAGATTTAATAAATACTCTATCACAGAACAAAATAATTTATAATTTGCAATAATTTATAATTTATCTCACTTTTATTTAGTTGCATGTTATATTAAAATACTTAATATTAGAAGTAAATCTTATTTTCTAATAAAAACAATTACAATCTGCTAGCAATATGATGCGGAATATTTAATTTAATTGTCATAAAAATTAAGCTGCATTGAAAATATGAAAAATTTATATTGACAGCAATATAAATTGTACAGGATTATTCGTTTTGGATCTTATTTGAAGAGTGTTATCATTCATAATTGGACTTTGGATGTTTCGAAAAGTATCTAATTAAAATTTTTATTAACTTATGAAACTATGAATATAGTTATATTGATTATTTAAAAAATTATGAGAAGAGAAGGTGGAAAATTATTAATTGTTACTATTAATTATTATTTCGATATATATTTTTGTTAGGGATCATCTAATATTTTAATATTTAAAAAAAACTGTTAAAATATTATATATGATTTTTAATTATCCTATACACATTTTTGCAAATATTTAAATATGCGATTGCATTGAATAAAAGACTCATAGGTCTAAAATTAAGTCGATGATTCTATAAAAAATAATTTTGGTTAGCTTTAAAGAGATATGAGGAACGTATAGAAATATACATATATAGTCAGATAATGAACTGCATTTAGGAATTGCATTGCATACACTGAAAAAAAATATAGTCAATTTTAATAAATATTTAGTTGAATACTGCCAACTAAATATTTATTAAATATAAAAATATATTTATTTGATACAAGAAATGTTAATT